CACCTCATAGAGGGCCTTCCTCTCCTGCGCCGTCCATCCACCCTCCCAAGCATGATGTCCCTCTCTAAAGACCGGTCTCTCCTCACAATTCTTAATATACAGAGGAATATTATTTTTTTAAGTTTTTATTTGGGATATATACACTAAACACTTCTCTAAGCCTATTTGAGACTCAGAGATATGGATTCTTCTCTGAGGTAGTTTAGACTCTAGAAGGATGTGAGGTGGAAAGAGAATAGACCAGGAACATTTTAGGTTGGCATCTCAGCTAATAGCAAATCAGCTCACCTTTAACCTCTGGGTACTATTTCCCTACTATCCTTGTCATTTGTACTACTAACCGAAAGGCAGCCACCTCTGGAAGTTTGATTACACCAGAGACTCTGTAGGAGACAGATGAGTGAACTCTTCTCTTGACATTTACAGCCTACAAAAATCTGGTGAATGATCAACTGAGTCAACACAATGAGAGAGAGGGTATAGAGAGACAGGAATTATGTTCCATGAGTTACTAGGACCCAGGGCTAAAAATTTAAATGGAAAAGGGACAGAAAGGCTGGCAAAGACTAGGAAAAGTCCAGAGAAGAAGGAACAAGATAAAATCGCCATAGCTTTGATTGGCCATCAGTCACTCACTGTGCTTTGAGCACATCTGTTCCTGCTTTCACTCCAAGAAGGAACTTCTCTCACACAGAGAATAAGGTCTTTGAGGTCAGATGATCTCTCTAGCACCATGTGAAGAAACCTTTATCAGTCTCAGAGGTAATAACTACAAAATTTTTATCCAACAACTTGCATTATGCAGATGATACAACACTGCTTGCTGAAAGCGAGGAGGACTTGAAACATCTGCTGCAGAAGATCAAGGACCAAAGCCTTCAATATGGATATATATCAACAGCAAGAAAACAAAATTCTTTACCATTGGGTCAACAGGCAACATTATAATAGATAAAGAAAATGAAATTGACAATGTTTTCATCTTTACTTGGATCCACAATCAACAACATTGGTACCAGAAGTGAAGAAATCAAATGTGTTGCATTAGAGAAACCTACTGTCAAGTTGCTCTTCAAGGTGCTTGTTGTTATTGCATGTTGTAGAGTCAAAATTGACTCATAGCTGACTCTCCAGCAGGTTTTCAGAGTCCGTAATCTGCATGGAGGGAGACTGCCCACCCTTCTCTCATGGAGCAGCTGATGGAATTTAACCATGAGCCTTTGGGATTGCAGCACAGCTTCTTACTGTTAGGTCAGCAGAGCTCCCAAGGTGCTAAGGAGCAACAATGTCAGTTTAAACACTAAGGTGAACCTGATCAAGCAATGGTCTTTTCAATTCCTTGCTATGCATCTGAAAGTTGGACATGACTAAGGATGACAGAAGAATTGATGCCTTTGAGTTGTGGTATTACAGAAGTAGACGGACTATCCCATAGTCTGACAAATGAACAAACAAATATGTCTTGGACAAAGTACAATCAGATTGTTCCTTGGAGGAAAGGATGGTGAAAATATCACCTACTTTGGGCAAGTTTTAGGAGGGGCCTTGGAAAGGGGCGGGGTTCAGCAAAAGAAAGGAAGACCCTCAACAAGATGAGTTGACACAGTGACTGGAACAAACATGGCTGAGATGGTGACGATAGCACAGGACAGCGCCAGGTTCAGAATTGTTCGTAGGGTCACTACGAGCCACATTCAATTCAATGACACCTGAAAACAACAAAAAGTCAGGAGTTGTAAACCCCATCGTAGCCTGTTAGGGTGTGGCAGCTTAGCTGGACAAAGAAGGAAATAGAAAAAGGAAGGACCTAAGAGGTAGATGGGCAAGTTCCTCTCATAATCAGCATCCTTTGTCTCCTCTCTTGTCCCTCCGCTGCAAGACCAGCATGTCCCAAAGGGAGGTGCTCTGTCAGCCTGAATCCTGGAGTGAAGACGGAACAGAGCAAGGATGCAGCAGACCCACAGGAGACATGTATTAATCATAGAGATTGAGAGTCTTTTGTTACCACAGTATAATTTCTGTTCTATGGACTAATATGCACGCTTTAATTTGTTATTGTGACTTACATAAAGGCAGATCATATTAAATCTCATGTGGCTTGTACCTCTAGCACCTAGCATAGTTCTGATTATATAATAAGCATTCAAGTAACAGTGAGTAAATAAAGTATTTCTGGGTGGTTTTTTTCCTGTATAATCAAGACAATCTATAAGATATCGTGATGTCCGTAATTTAGGAAATAAAGGGTTCTGTGTTTCCTTCTCCAAACACCCACATGCAAAAGTCTCTCATTCCAACCTGAATTACATTTCTCTTCTGATGAAAAGCTTTTAAACATGTTTCTATATGCTTCTGTTCTGAGGCAATGTTGCAAGGAGAGACCAGTTCTTGGAAAGGGAGATCATACTTGGGAGGGTGGAGGGACAGGGCAGGAGAGGAAGACCCTTGATGAGGTGGATTGATTCAGTGACTGGGGTAATGGGGGTAGGTGTGTCAGAGGCAATGAGATTGGCACAGGATAGAGTAGGGTTTAGGGTTGCTATGAGTAGCTGGCGACTCGATAGCACATAACAACAACTATATGCTTCTAGCATTGCCACAGCTACGTAAGGTTTCTGAATCCTATGATGATCAATCTATACAGGTGAAAAATTAAACACTGGAAATGTCTTTTGTCTGCGAGTACTGTGGGTTCTGAGTGATGTATCCCACCCCCATCCACTATCAGTGCTGACTTGGCCAAGGTCGCCTGATGCTCAAAGGCCACTTTATGGTACCTCCAGGGAGGAAATGCTTTGAGAGTTGGGCTTATAATTCAACCATAATTGAAGTTGCCTGGACTTTTATTCACAGGTCTTTCATTCATAGGTTCACTATGAGTCATAACACTTAACAACAACATCTAAGACTTAATAGACAAACGACATAGCTTAAAAGCCAGACTACACTAGATACTTATACGAGAAGTCTCTGTTTAGCATTCTTACTTCTTTAGGACACAACTTGATTTCTAATATCATTGTGAAACCACCTACACAATAATGATTTAACCCAGAAGAAGTGACTGCAGAGAACCAGGGAATATGAGAACTGAGTTGGACCTCAACCAGCTCCACATACATTCACTTGTTTCACGGGAGATGGAAATCAAGGGAGATAAGGTGACCTCTCTAAAGTCACCAGTGGAAAAAGGGATTATCAATCAAGGAATGTAGGAATAAAATTACAGTGAGTTAGGTGACATTCTGGGAGTAAGTAGTTAAGGAAAGGGTAGAGGGCAATCCTCAAGTTTTTTAATTGAGAAAAATGGGAGGATGATGGGGTCAAACGAAAAAAAGAGCAATGTGGAGAGAATTTGATGAGTTCAGTGTGGATTGTGTAGAGTTTGAGATGTCATCCAGGTAGGCTATCAAGCAGATAGCTAGACATTACAGCTCTGAGACTGAAGGAAAAGATCAAGGTTGTTGCGATAAATTTACAAGGTATCAGCCTATACAATTGGCATGAAATCTCTTATGGGATAAGAAGTGAAGCAGAGAAGAGAGAAAAGAGAGTTAGGAAAAGGGATGGCAAAACTATCACTATCTATCAGCCCTCCCCCTGCTCCCCCAGCCCTCTTTCTACCCCCTCAGCCCTCCCCCTGCTCCCCCAGCCCTCCCCCTGCTCCCCAACCCTCTCTCTGCCCTTCATCCTTTCCCCTGTCTCTCTCCCCCTGCCCCAACCCCCAGACCCCCAACCCTATCCTTGCCCCCTCAGCCCTACCCCAGCCCGCTTAACTGGGGCCACAGCTCTAGTGGAGTGGAATCGGGGCTCCAATGCCACTCCTTCTCAAGCCCTTTGCCGGAAGGGCAGGGGGAGGGTCCTTTGGCTCCCCCAAAGCCCAGGCGGGTCCACCCTTTCCACTCATTAATCCGCCTGGACTAAGTCCATGCGCTCGTGCGCTGCGCCGCGGAATCCGAGGCAAAGACGCTCGCGCGTGCAGCCGCCCCACTGGCCCTGGACCCAGAGCATCCGCGCCCCAGCCCCTCGAGGGGTGCAGCCCTCGGAGCCCCACAACCACGGGCTTGAGGACGAGGCCCTGGAAGCCACTGTGCAGTGGGGTCTCCCAGACCATAACTGGAAGAGAAGGGCTCTCGGGCCCCGGAGCGACCAGGTGGCACCTCCATCCTGACACCTGATCGCCAGGCTGGGACGTCCCAACAGCTGCCCCGCAGGCAACTGGACCTGAGTCCGGATTTCCGCCAGCAGCAGCCTCGCGCCACAGACTCTCCACCCACCCAGGGTCGGGGGTCTGGCGCCCTCCCGAGTATTGGGAACCCCCTGCTGTCCGAGGCGCTTCTGGGCAGTCCCCTGCTGCCCCGTGGTGGCCTCTTCCCAGGGGCCGAGCCCCTGCCGCCCCCGCACGCCCGTCTCTGTTTCCGAGCGGCTCTGGATGTGATGTAATGGGGCTGGGGCGCGCCGGGCTTCCTCGCCGGGGCTGAGCTGGTCCCCCCGCCGCTGCGCGCAGAGCCTGAGTCCCTCGGCGCTCCTTGCGCGCGCTCCGGAGACGGACCGACGGCCGCTGCCGCCGAGCCCCCTGCGCCCACGCCTCTGCGTGCTGACGCCCCGAGAGCCCGGCTTTCCGCCCAGACAGCAAGCGCACCGAGTGTTTCCAGGGGTACTCAGACAGGCTTTGGTCTCTGCGCCCGGGAGACAGCGGGGCACCTCAGGTACCCCGGTGAGCTCAGTCGGTGGACGCTTTAAGAGAGACAGGTTACAGGGTGTGTGTGTGTGTGTGTGTGTGTGTGAGAGAGAGAGAGAGAGAGAGAGAGAAAGAAACTGGGGGAGACAGAGAGACAGGAAAACCAGGGCAGACAGACAGAAAGGGAGCAACTGAGTTGGTGGGTGGGAACTTGACTTGGATGTTTCCGTTGTTTAACCCACTGTGGTTCTACCTCCGACAGAAGAGAGGAAGACGCTCTTGCATTAGCACACAGCCCCCAACCTGGATGGAGTGAAAGATGCGGCCCGATGACATCAACCCGAGGACTGGGCTGGTGGTGGCCCTGGTCAGTGTCTTCCTGGTCTTTGGCTTCATGTTCACCGTGTCTGGGATGAAAGGGGAGACTCTGGGTAACATCCCCCTGCTGGCCATTGGGCCAGCCATCTGCCTCCCGGGCATCGCGGCCATTGCCCTGGCCAGGAAAACCGAGGGCTGCACCAAGTGGCCCGAGAACGAACTCCTCTGGGTCCGCAAATTGCCCTGCTTCCGGAAGCCCAAGGACAAGGAGGTGGTGGAACTGCTGAGGACCCCTTCAGACCTGGAGTCAGGAAAGGGGAGCTCGGATGAGCTGGCTAAGAAGGCGGGCCTCAGGGGACAGTCTCCCCCACAGGGGCAGGGCGAGGTGGTGACTGCCAGTTCCATCACCACCCCCACACCCAAAGAGGAAGAAGGCCAGAGCCAGGCCCAGAGCGCACACCTCGAGACGTCCAGATACCTGGATGGGTACTGCCCCTCGGCCAGTTCCCTTGCCTACAGTGCCTTGGAGGCCAAGTGCTCAGCCTGGGACAGGTCCGACTGCCCTGAGCCGGAGGACAGCATCTTCTTCGTGCCCCAAGACAGTATCATCGTTTGCTCCTACAAGCAGAACAGCCCCTACGACAGATACTGTTGTTACATCAATCAGAGCCAAGGCCGGTGGGACCACGAGACCATAGTCTAAGCTTTGCTTCCTGCATCAACAGGACCATGGCTGCCCCCAGCTCCTAAAGGAAGGGAACGGCCCTGCTCCAACAGCCTCCACTCTGTTAGAAATTGACCTGGTATGTGATGGGTGAGCAAACTCCCAGTGTCCAAAAGCCATGTAAATAGGCACGTTGGGGATGCATTTCAGGGAATTTTAGGTGAAGAAAGTCAGGGACACAGGAACAGGCAGCAGGTAGGAATGGGAGCAGGAGTTCCAACTGCTTTTTAACAATTTCAATTACGTTGAATGTTTTGTAAAATAACACCCCCCCAAAAAAAAATGTACTGTTCAGCATTTGCTGAAAGCAAGATAAATGTAGAGTGAACGACAGATACTAGCAATCAAACCGTACAGGGGCTGACCACAGAGATGCCGAGCAAATTTATGTAAGAAGAAATGGGGTGGGGGGGGAACAGTTATGTGCAATTGTATGAAATGATGTTTGCCTGGAGAAAAGCTTTTCACACTTGATGTTTGCTGGAAGGAAAAAAAATTCTAAGAGTTACATCTCTTTTAAGGTGGGATGATTTTTGGAGGTGGAGGAGTTACTTGAATTGAGTTTTCCAGCATTATCCTCTGTCAAGTTTGGGGACTTCAAATGAAGCGTGACCAGCTATGTGAAAAATTAACCATTTTTAGTTGACTATGTTACTTCTTAATCTAAATCTAAGCTGATTTACTGAGTCTTCCCCAGAAGTGGGCTGGGTTTTTTTAACATTTCCTATCATTTATGTATCATTTCCATATCAGGTGCAAAATGACTCAATGAAATATTTTCATAGATTAGAACTTGCTTTAAACAAATCAAAATGATGATTATATATGTGCAAGAGTCTTTAACATTTCTGGGTAATATATATTGATAATTACTATCCCTATATGTCATTTAAGGAGCCTTGGATGGTACAGTGGTTAAAGAGCTTGTCTAATAACTAAAAGGTCAACAATTCAAGCCCAGCAGTTACTCTTTAAGAGAAAAATGTCAGGGTCTGTGTCCATAAAGATTATAACCTTGGAGAAGGCCTATTCTATCCTAAGTCATTGTAAGTTGGACTTGACCTGACAGCAATGGGTTTGGGGCTTTTTGGTTATATGCCATTTAAAATCTGAAGACTATAAAGTCTGAACAGTGGTCCTAGACTTTATGCTGATTTTGCATGAAATGTTCTAGTTAAAACTCTGAAAATGCCATTATTTGTACATTTGTTCAACACTCCCACAGACTGTAGATACCAATGAAACAATCTTATTAGATTTAACTAAAGCCCAGATTTTATTAAATTCACCTAACCAGTGAATATCACAAGACTAAGGTCTGTTTTCTTTCATTCTTTTTCCACTATTAAAGAACACAATGGGCCCTAAAAAGTCTTTCTATTTCACTTGCTCAGCTGTCATCAACAAGAAAGGCATTTGATCTCTCCTGAAAGAAACTACTGAATGATGTACCAAACTGGTAGTAGACTGCATCTTGAAGGATAATTTATCATTCTTCAAAAAATTATTTTAAATGAAAAGCTAGTTTCAACTATTTTCTCCAAAAAGGGGAATTGAGGACAAACATTTGGGGCAAATCTCTTTTGTGTATTTCAGGTCCATCTTTGCAACTCTTGCTTAAATAATGCAAGTGTAGATAACTGTTCTGTCTTTGGAATACTGCCCTTTAGAGAAGCAACAATTTAAAAATAAAATTTAAAACTGTCATTTTTTTTTTTTTTAGTGCAACTTAAATGTCAGGAAATGAGATGTGTGACCACAGTTGAATTCCATCTTCTGACACCTCCATTTCCTAAGTCTATGGATTAGAGACAGGGTGGCTGATTTCTACTAGATTATTTCTGTAGTTTATTTCAGTTTGAATATTATCTGTTATTATGTCATTGCCAGAAAATAAATTACCAAAAATGCAGTATCAACATTTTTGTAATTCCTGATGATATTCAACATGGATGGAATTCTTGCCACTACTCTAAATAATTGTGTAGATTTATGAAAAATTTTTTTTCATTACCAAATATTACTTATTCACAAAAATGCATTCTTCAGTAATGGTGATGATGTGATGAGTGAAATATTTGAGGAGAAAAGTTTAAATAATGGTATAACTCAAAGCAATCTTATACCTTTACTTTGGATCTGGGAACAGAAGAGTAGTTTCCTAAAATCACAATACCTTTTTTTAAAAAAATCACAATACCTTTTAATAACTGTAATGTATTTTCAAAGAGGAAAATCTTATTTCTGTGAAGGTGAAAATTATTGGATAACTCTTAGGAATAAAAACTTCCTCTAACGTGTTTGCCACTGAGGAGATCTTGAGAAGTGAGAACATAGACCTTGGAGAGGAATATTCTCAGTGGCTCATCAAATCTCACCCAAGACTCAACTGTCAGGTATGGTTTGAGATTTGGAATAATTATTTTCTTATTTCTTGAAATCAGCTCAAGTATCGTCATATGGTACAAAACATACACATATGGAAGAGCTCTGGTGGCTTCTAGTTATGTGCCATCGAGTCACCTACGACTCAGAGCATCCCTATGTACAACAGCTCTGAAGCCTGCCCCGTCCCGAGCCAGTCTCACTGACTCCGACACACTTCTCCCCATTACCCTCTGTGTTGCTGTGTCAATCATCTCATCCAGGGTCATCTTCTCCTGCTGGCTTAGTCGTAATTATGCTGCCAACTCAAAGGTTCATGGTTCAAATCCACAAGCTTCTCTGTGGCAGAACGACAGGCAATCTCCTGCCATGTGATTTACTGCCTCTAAATATCAGATGGAGAGTCAGCTCTGGGCTGGTTCCCTCTCAATGATACAAAAACAACAAACCACTAGAGTTCCATTACATAGTTACATGTATAAGTAAATATATTAAACACACACATCCCAATTTTGTAGATCAAGGACCAACTAAGAATGCAGAGCTATGAAGTATTAGTTCGTATTTTCAAGTTCTCTGTCAGAAGGAGCCTATTTCGGGTTTCCCTTCCATCCATCTCCTTTAAGATTTCCTTTAAGGTAGATCTTTAAGTAACTGCTTATGCATTTGAAGAATTATTTTATATATGCACATGGTAGGCTGAGAGGCTTAACTCTATCTTTGACCAGATTATCCAAAACCAGCTAAAAAAAAAAAAGCATCAATAGAACTACCAGAAGTTCTTCTGACCATAGGTAGAAGAAAAGCAAAACACAGAAAAATATGAGCTCTTTAAAGGAAAATCGAGCGATCATTTATATCAACAAGTTTGGTAAATCATCAATATTAATCTGACAGATAAGAGAATATGTTCCCGGCAGCCTTTAAGAGGGTCCAGCTAGAACTCTCAAGAAGGCAGTGGTGGTTCCTTTTTTTGTTGTTACTTCAAATAGTTGGTTCAACTTAATTTTAAATAGTTAATTTATTTTTAAAACTGTTTTCTACTGAACTCCTCTTGCTCTGTATTCCTACTAATTATGCACATGGGTTCTTTTCCACACTGTTCTGTTTCTTGGCTCCGAAGTGTAAATTCAGCCAACATTTCCAAGCTGGAGTGTATTTAGACAACAGTTTCAAATTTTAGTTTCTACTGCAAATCACCCTGGCAAACAAACCCAGACATAGTTCAGATCAGGCTCTGCTCCAAACTCGACTAACTGGCTTCTTCAAATTGTCTTACCTACTATAGATCTTGATATCCACTGAGCTGACAAATAATGGCAAAGATAGGACAGAGAAACTTATTCTTTTAAATGCTTTTCCCTGTTGTTACAATCTCTGCTTGTCTATTTCTTAATCCTGCCTCTCTACACTCATATCATCTGCTTGCTGAATCCTTTGTTGCTATTATACTGTTAATGACTATTACTATGAATAAGAAACTATTTTGAAAATCCTACCATCCTAACAAAACTATTCCCATTTTAGCATATCCTCTCCCAGGGCTCCTCTAAGTGCGTAAGTGGTTACATATTATCATGATGTGTTTTCTTTCCTCTTTTAATTAGATCCGAAGTGTGTTTTAATATTTCTGTGCTATATTCCTAATTATCATTTAATGATTGATATGTCAGCTAGCGAGATGTCATAATTGATGATGCCATTCCTTATTGGGGACTAGTTAATGAGTTTTATAGATGACTTTGTATGTTTCTTTTTTTCTGTCTTACTTTTTTCCTGTTGTTGGTAATACTGCAGCATTATCTGATATATGCCCATAGAGATGGAATTTTACAATCAGTGTTATCTTCTTATACATGGCAAAGTTAAAGCGCAGAAATGTATAAATTAATCAAACACTCCATATTGTTGTACAGGTCTTTTCTACACTCATGCAGATGTACAATGTAGGTTAGAAGATAAAACAGTGCTGCTTCAAAAAAGGTTTCCATAGCAGGCCTAGAGTAAAAATTTTTAAGAGGGAGAAGCCATTCCCCCAGTTAAAATACCAGTAGTGTGTTTCTCAGAATCAAATCACAGCGGTGTCAGTCTTCAGGAGGACACACCATAAAATAGACCTTATAGTGACTTTTACAAACAAACTGGACATTCAGGAATGCAACAGACTCCATCCAGTCTTGAACTGTGTGTGTTTCAGTTCCTCACAAAGAAAAACTAAACTGAGAATGGAGATGTGGACAAATGTGTGACTCAACCAAGTATCTCAAGAAAGAACGAAATTTTATTCAATCTCTTGTCCAGAAGGCATAAAATTGAGTCAAAGATCTTGACTGTGATATCACAAGCCTCTGACAGAGTCCTCACTCCATGTACATCCAATAGAAAAAGGTTAGTCCAAACCAAGGACCCACATAAGTAGGTAAACACTGGTATCAGGTCTCCATGTCTATCAATGAATTATCTCCATTTAAGGTTATGTCCCCCCCCCTTTATTTTTCCACTTCTTGAGACCTCCAGTTAAGCTTCAATGATTTGGATCCTACTTTTACTTTAGCCTATTGTTTCTTTGAGGAAACTTCATTTTATTAAAATAA